ACAGAGAGAGACAGAGAGAGACAGAGAGAGAGACAGAGAGAGAGACAGAGAGAGAGACAGAGAGAAAAGTAAGGATGCTGATGCTGAGATACTGGATAGAAGGGCGATTAACTGAGATGGGGAAGGATTGGGGAGGAGCAGCTGTGTGCATGGATCAGCAGAAGTTTATTTTTTGAATTTGAATTCTGATATGCCAAGCGGAGATGTCAAGTTAATGATTATGGAAGCCCAAAATTATTTTGGTAAGTCATCAGTTACTACAAAGCTAGATGGTGTAATTAAATTCTGTAAACAGAGAAGAAAACAGGTCTGTGGATTGAACATTGAGAAGTTAGTGGTCCGTAGGGAGAAACTGTTTCAAGGGCATTAAATAATTAACTAAATATAAGTTCTGCTGGGGGCTTGAGTACTGGATTGGAGGTTGGACTTGGCATTGTGTGTTATTTCTGATCCTGTTGAGATCAGTTCTAGTATAGTAGTGGGGACAAAAGGTGTTTCCTTTCCCCAGTGTGAGGGAAACTAGAAACAGGGTATAGAGAGCAAATGCCTTGCTTAAACCTGTTGTATCTCAGGTGGTGTTGTGCCCATCATTCTTTAAAGTGCTCTCGCTTGAATGCTAATCCACACATTCTTTCTGTGACAATTCGAACAGGAAGATCGATATAAAATTCAAAACACAACAAACAAGCATAGGAAGTTGGGTGTGGTGGTGGATACATACACTCCACCACTTTGGAGACTCGGGCAGGAAGATCAGGAGCTGTAGCCAGCCTTTGCTACATCGTTAGTCCTTGTCTGGAAAAAAAGAAAAGAAAGCAAAAACAAATAACAGCAACAAAATCATAAGAAAGAATACAGAGTGTTTGCATTGTGGAAACAAAAATTGATGACATGGAAATAAAGGGGATATTTGGGGAATGGTGTCTTTGAAAAGACGAGGGGAGAAGATATAGAGGATCAAGCTTTGTGTGTCTGTTGAGTGGAAAGACAGAATGTACAGTGCTCTATTTCTTGGGCTGTATTTTTGTTGGTGATTTATTTGTTTGTTTTCCACACACTGTGAACCTCTTAAGAGCAGTAAGTATAAATGTCGTGTTCATTTTGTAGTAGGGGTTTTATTGTTCTATTTCTATTCCCTAGTACAATGCCTGGCACACAGCAGGCATGCAATAAATGTCTAACTAGAAAATGAAGACATTGTGTTAAGCATGTGTCTGTTTTGTCTTCTCATTCAAGTTGGATTATTTCCGTCAAATCTTGACAACCTGATTGATTTAATTGTGTTTCTCTTGCTTGGTTCTACAGAATGCTTGAGTTACTGGTAGAGTTGATTGACAGTCATGATTGTGATTCTACCCAAATCAACTGTGCTGCCTAAATGTTAAGTCAGTGACCCTTGTTATGTCATGTTGCAGTTTCCCTGCTATAGATTTAGAATCAATTTGCCACTTCCCAGGGGCTTCTGAAAACCTCATCTTTCCTCAGTGTCCACCTGCTGTTTGTAGTTATTGTTCATATATTACTTATCACTCCTTGTCATTCAATTCACCTAATTACCAAGAAGGTCTTTGAGGAGGGTCATTACACATGTACTGCTTTTTGTCTTACATTTCATGGCTCTTTTGGTTAGGTGATCAATGTATGTTCCTGAGTATAAAATGAAAAAAATGCTTAATCTTGGATCTGGTACAAAAAAGTACCAAATAAACAGTCTTGTGATTGAATTAATGCATAATGGACTATTATCAATGGTCTCTGGTGGGTGTGGCCAGTGCACAGGCTGCATCTTCTTTCTCTTTGGTTGTGCTCAGCTCCCATCTCTTGCTTGCTTGCTTTTTGTCCTCTTATCCTGCTTTCCTCACTGCCTTGTAAGCCATCTCTGCCTATGAGTGCCTTTAAGATTAGCATGCATTTATTTACTTAGTTTTAAGATTTAATATTTTAGTATTTTTCCTGATAATTTCTTATAATGTACCTTTATTGTATTCACTCTAACTTTTCCCTTAAACTCCTGCCTCCCATCCATCCTCATTTCTATATCTCTGCAACTTCATGTCCTTTTTTAAAAATTTAATAACCCATCTGTCCATAGCTCCTCATGAATGTCTTCCCATTCCATTCTGTAATGTTGCCTGGTGTGATCTGATACAGATAGCCATTGCTTCTGTGAGTTCATGAGTACATTGATTCTCTCATGTGCTGAGGAGACTGTTTGGAGAGCCTTTATTTCTAAATCAAATGGTTATGCCATCCTCTCTGGGGACTTACTTTTTTTGAGAACTTTAATAAGGCATCACATATTTTTAAGGAGCTGATGTAATTGCAGGGTCATTACTGCCTCTCAGAGTGGCAGGCTCTACTGCTGTTGTCTGTAGATGGTCCATCCTGATAGCTTTTGGTTTTATACCATTGCAGTCAAGACTGTTGATGACTATCCATCAAATTTGTCATTTGACTTTGCTGACAGGGCGTAAGTAGTTTACAATTTTAGTAAATAATTGTTATTGAATTGTGCAGATACTTTATTGAATTACATGTCTTTCTAACATGAAGTCAGAATGTATTTTCCTTGTATCAACCCTATGCTTTCTGACTATACACCTCTGGTCTCTCTTAGGCCGGGATAATAGAGAGTTAATTGTATAGTCAATTTTTGCATTATAACCGAATACAGCCTTTTTGTTTTCTTGTTGAAAATAAATATCCATTTTGGTATATTGAATAAACCACTTATTTTTGTAGTGATTTAAAAAGGACATAGACTCCCTTATTTTTAAAATGGAATTGGGAGTAATGTGTTTTAGAACTGAAAAGCACTTCAGCAACTAGCTGGTGGCCAACAGCATCACTTTATAAATAAGACCCAAAGAGGTTAAATGATTTGTTCAATATCCCCCAGCTTGGTTAGTGGCAGAGTAGGTCTGAAATCCAACTCCCATGCTGCTATCCTTTCTACTGCTGAATGAAATGCATACTTGTTATTCACCGAATTGATATGAGGATTAGGGACCACATCTGTGAAAAATAGATTTAGTCTTTGGAAGGAAAGATGCTGGATAGCTTTATGAAAACTAATCTCATTTTAACCTTTCCTATACGATTGTTAGCTCTGTTCAGTTTTATGTTTCTCACTTTGGGACTTCTTTTTATTTTGGCCAAGGACTAGATAATTTATGATGCTTGTTTTAAGAATCAATAATAAATGCCTAGATTGTCTTAAAAATATGAATTACATCAACTAGTTTTGAATCTAGGAGCAGGTGCAGAAAGCCTTCCAGAGTGGTGGTTGCTTATGTACATGGAAAGTTTTCTGTTCTTATGCTGTATATTTGGTATAAAGACAGTTAATTTCAAAAGAACAAAAGTGAGAAAAAGGACTCATAAGCATGATTATACACACACACACACACACACACACACACACACACACTTTTCCAATCTGGTAATTCTTCCAAAGCTCGATGCAACATGTCTTAACAGACCATGAGTTTTCTCTCTTGCTGAGCCAGGGACCCATTATACTAATCCACCATGCCTTCATATCTCTAGAAAGCATATGTAAGTGATAACTTAGAATATTTATTTTGATGCAAGGTGTATAAATCTTCTCTATGTCATCCTGGAAAGTGAGGAAATTGTGACTTGCTCAACTTGGCTAAGTCAACTGTTTAAAATTGGCTCTTCTTTGCAATGTGTTTTGATATATAAACAAGAACCCTGTTTAATTTTTATACTATCCAAAGTGATTTGTGCATATTCATATGTGCAGGGGAAATAAAATTCAAGTACCAAAAGGCTAAAGTAACTTTTATATATATTTTTAATTAGGTCCGATTATATGCAAGACCCGATGCTATCAGAAGAGGATCCGGGGACTATGCTCTCCACATTACAAAGAGATTAATAGAATTTTATGAAGACTACTTTAAAGTGCCCTATTCTTTGCCAAAACTAGGTAAGATTTCTTGGTTATTTTATTAGAAGGACTCCTGGAAGGTGGCATTTCTTCTTCATCATCAGCTAAAGCATCCAGCAGCATAAGAATTCAATGGTTTATATTTTTAGAGATGAGGAGCACAAAAATAATTTCTTCTGAAGAGGTAAAATAAGATTAATGTCCTGGAGTCTTGCCAGTGAATGCTCGTAGGAATTAAGGAAGGCACTGTGTGAGTTAGAATACAAAAAAAAAATAACCCAAATAGCTACAATTTGTTAAATACATCCTATGGAAGGCTGCTTGCCAAAAAAATCAAGTTAATTCCTACAATGATTATGTGGATAGATGCAATTAGAGCACATTCCATATAAGGGTTTGGAGGTGTTTCCTAGCATTGAGACAGGCAAGTCTTTATGATTCTCAGGACTAGCCAGTATTGCACACAGTTCATACATGGATAGCCTTTCTCACTGCAAATTGTTGTATGTCAGGTCTTAATGAATTGGCTTTCCTTTAGATTATTTTTTAAGATTGTATTTGTAGTACACAGTTAAGCTAATAACAAAGTGACAGAAGAGAAACTTGGTAATAATGGAAATGGTTATAACAATGGAATGTTCTTGTATGAATTCCTTTTACAGAGCGATTGTGTTCAGCAATTGTTGGTCCTGTGAATAAATGCATTAACGTATTATTATAATTTGAATGAGGCTGTGCTTTTGGCAGGAAGTGAGCTAGAATGTTCCAGAACATTATAAAGGGTGCATATATGCGTTAGAAATGCTGAAGCTACTTTTCCTTTTCAGATACTTAGTATTAGATGTGACATCACAACAGTCCTTTGTTCCCCAGTCACTCCTCTCTTGTCAATTTTCTTCCCAAGTGTATTTTCTTTTGGTCAGAATCCACATAAGATACATTTTTTTTGATTGGGAAGAATAAAGTATTTATTTGATAAAAAAAATGTTAGTTTGAACAACAGGTTCACCTCCCTGGAGAACTGGGCCTATTTCATTTAAGTACCTGCCTGCTGTATGACATTATTGGTCATACAATGAGTGGTTCAGAAAGTAGATAGACTAGCTGACATTGTCATCTATGGGCATGACATTCCATTTTAATGAACTCTATTGCAGAATTGTAAGGTCTTTTGGAAATATTCACTCAGCATTTATAGACAACGTTTTATATCAAATAGGCTCTATACCACTTCCTTTTTTTTATATCTACTTCTTTTTTAGAGTCTGTTTCACTGGAATCTCCCTGATAGTCACCCAAGGCAGAAAAGACTGCCTGACCTTATTTGCATGGGAGGTGGTGCTGTTATGTATACCAGGTAACTTGGAACTTCCCAGCTTGACCCTAATGTAAAATTCAGAAGTGCTTATGTTGCAGGTTCAGCGAGAGAAGTAAAATGTGGATCTTTCTCTGTCCCTTTCAGACCAGTAATTAGCAGAGGAACTCAATTTATAACTTCAGGGGGTTCCATGTAACTGTCAGCTTGCAGCAGGATCCATTCCTGCTCTCTTACACTCACAATTGAACCATGCAGCCTTTCATCTGCCGAAGAAAAAAGCTTTATTCACCGTTACTATTACTTGTTAAGCTACCTTATGGTGTATATAATTGTATGATTTGACTTCCCTGAGCACACTCCTTTTTATATATCTAGGGGAGTCACCACAGCTCAGGGTGCTTTATGAAATTTCTGGTAAAGGTCTACTTATTCCATAGGTCTGTAGATGTGTATGCTAATGGATTTGTGAGTATGCCTTCTAAATACACCTTACATGAAAGTCCCTAGTCACAGAATCATTTCTGACAAATCCTCACCTTCCATCATATGTTATGGATTATATTTTAGGTAAATTTTATATTCACTAGCTCAGCCTTTGTTAATGATGTCTGCAGATGGACTCTAGATTTTAACTGGGACTGTTTTGACCCTTCACGTTTATCAAAATTTGTTTCCAAGGCTCATTCTACCCTGCCTTACTTCCCTCATACATTCTGTAAGCATTTAGTAAGAGCCTGCCATAGTCATTTTTTCATATGATGAATATTCTGTAGTGACTAAAACAGGGAAAAATCTGTTCTCTCTGATTTCATTCTGTCAGGTAGAGACAGACAGTAAGCCAATTAGTAATAAATAATCATTTAAATAGCTGACCTGATAGGTAAAATGGCACCCATTGGTGATCCTGGCACTAAAGAGGCTGAAGCAGGAGGATGACAAGTTTGAGGTCAGCTGGGCTGTATAGTGAGACCTGGTTTAAATCAATCAATCAATCAATTAATCAATCAATCAATCAATCAATATTAATAAATAACTAGAATAGAGGGCTAGGAAGTATTGCGGGCTAGATGTGGCATTTCGAGAGACAGAGGTTTTTAAACAATTAACTAACTAGTTATAGTTTTTCACATGGAAGTATTATTTATTTGGAAGAGTTTAGATATCAACTCAAGAAAATGAAAAAGTGAGCCCAGTGGAAAGCATGGGGCATGAGTTATTATTAAAGGGAACAAAGTGCCTAGAGTTTAAACTTAGATCTTAATAGTGTGTTTGAAGACTAGCAAAGAGGCAAATATGCCTGGAAGAGAGTGAGTAAAGGGGTGGGCACACTGGTCTGGGTGTAAGGGGGTTAAAGATAATGCAGAAGCAGAAGGCCTTCCCCTCCCCCTACTCTCTGAGAGTTCAAGCAGACCTAGAACACATGATGTCGCTCAGAGAGTTCCCAAACTCAAGGATCCTCTTCCTTAATATCCCAAGTCCTGGGTTGCAGGCACACGCCACTATACCAGGATTGGATCTTCTTTTATGAAAAGCCATTTTGACTTCTCAATGTATTATTTCTGAACTTCTATGTTCTGTTAATTTATAATTCTGAACAGCTTAACTTCATTGACTGTAGCTCACCTCATGCTAGCTTATATCTAGGGATTTGAGTTTTCACCCCAAGTGGGAAGAGTTCCTTGAGAGGAATTCTAGTGCTTCTTCTTGTTGGCTTAGGATGCTAATTTATTATCTTGATACGCAAAATTTCTTTATCATTTTAAGTCAACATGAGCCGACAGTGTACACAGTGTGATTAATTTTAAAGTCTCTAAATTGGGTAATTAAAATCATGCTTATGAGGTGCATAATGTTTTTACTTCGATAAATATATATATATATATATATATATATATATATATTTGTAGACATATATAGAATTGTCTTATCCTTCATATTACATAAAAATAATATTGACAGCAGCAAAATGGCAACTGTGTTTATGTTTATGAAATGTAAGTTACTCTTAAGAAATTTGTAGATTTTTACCCATTTATTTATTACCATGGCCTTTCAAAGTAGTATTCATTACTTTCTAATTTTCCAGATGACAAAATTTAGGGATTTGGTAAGTGAATAGTGTGAATAGATCATATAAATAATGGATTAGGAATTCAAGTTCAGAATTTTGTTAAAAAAAGGTTTTAAAAACTTTGAGAACTCATAGATTAAAGTGTGTATCACTTTAATAAAGTGGATTGTCTATTAGTAGAATAGCAGATTGGCTATTTTTTGTTAATTTCTTACTGATAAAAGTAATAATACTTACTAGAGCTATTGCAGAAAAAGTAGAAAGGAAAGCTATGAAGAAATGAGTCAGGGAAATCACAATGGCATCAATGAGAAGACATACCTAACTATTGCCAACATGTTTTCATCATAGATGTTTATAAGTTAATTAGATGGTAGATAAAATGATGGGCACAATATTTTGTTACTCACCACATTTAGGTTTCAATTAATTATGGCAGATAGTTTTCAGTTTCCCTCTGCTGCTGCTCTGTAATTTGTAAATCAATGTGTTGTAAAGGAGGTTGCTTGATTGCTTCTTTTCAAGACACAGTGTGTTTGCTTTTATGGGGAATTCATTACCTGCCTAGCATGGTGCTGTGAGTGTAGAGGGAGCACAGGTGTTTTGTCACAAGAATTTCTGCCCTCAAGGAGACTGTGGGTATGTTGAGGAAAGAATTCAGTATTTACAGGGATGAATGAGTTCGATACCCCCCCAAATATAAAATACAGCCAAACACTTTAGTCTTATAGGGTAATATTTAATACCACATTAAATGAAGAATCTGAGTTCTGTGCTACAGACATGAACTGTACTTACAGAGAACCCTCATCTTTTTTGAATCCAGAGAAGAGTGGCAGTAGGGAAAGGGAGGAGACCATTTTGAGGTCTCCTTTATCTAAGGCAGGAGCCCATGCCAACCTGGGACTCAACAAACCACACTAAGGAGTCCACATTTTTCTAGAATGGAGTAGACAAGTAGAAAGATAACTTTCTTATTAGAATTTGGGAAGATGAGATGCTGGTTAGGATGATAGATTTTTGTTTAAGCAGTAATAGACACCAGATTTTTCTGCATTTGCACGTATGTGTATGAGTGTGTGTGTGCGCCTGTGCGTGTGTGCATACATGTGCAGTGGTCTTGCATGTGGAGGCCAGAGATCAAGCTCAGGCATCATTTTTCAATAACTGTGCACTTTGATTTTTGAGATATAGGGCTTGCCCAATGATCCACTCCTATTAAAACATTGTTTTTATTAATATATTTCATCCCTAGTATCCCACCTAATCAGGACTTTGAGGCTCATCAGTTCAGCTAGGGCATCCAGTGAGCCCCAGGGATCTGCCTACCTCCACCTCTCCAGAACTCTGAGTACAAATGTGTCACCACAGCTAGTTTTCATGGGTTCTAGGTTTCCAGTTCAGGTCTTGTTTGACTGCAGCCATTTTACCCATCAAGTCACCTCTCCAGCCCTGACATGCCTTTTCATTGAAGTGTTGATAAGGGTTTCAATGATGTTCTGAAGTTGTAAGGAATAAAACTTCATGAAATAATTAATGATGTAGTGAATTTGAAATATATCAACAGTGTATGTTATTAAATTTTCATTATTTGTATAACCTACTAAGCATTTTACCTCTTGTGCCCTTGGTTTTTAAGTGGTGTGTATA